GTGTACTGGTGTGTAACTTGGTTCCCTTATCTAAAAAAACAATTCAAATTCGCAATGCGGTCAGAAGCTGTTTTCGGTTGGATATTTGGTTAGTGTTTGTAGCTGTTTTTAGTTTTGTTGTTGTTGGTTGTTTTTTATTTATTTTGGTAGTGTTTGTAGCTGTTTTCCTCGGTTGGATATTTGGTTCGTTGGGAGTCGTGGTTGGGCTGTTTGGTGGTGTCGTTTCTTGCTTTCTTTTTGTTTCAATCTCCTTTTTTTCCCAATGAAAATCATGGCAATTCTCTTGCCATCCATTCGAAAAAATAATATAGGAAAATTTCAACCGGAGCACTCTGAAGATATTGTATATTGCGTCAAGAATGGAAACTGCATTACGTGTTGATGCTACGCAAATACTTGTGCATGTCTGTAGAAGAAAGGAGTTGACTACTCAAGTAAGTATTGAAATGAACGATATGTTGGGCGGATCTACAGTATTTTTGTCGGGGTCCGCCGACCCCGATGACCTTCCGTGAACACCTGATACTCTCCGTTCTGCCACCTGCTTGGACCCCAGTAAAATTCGAAGTTGCCCCCGGCAACTTCGGTGTCCAGCCCACAAGAGAATGCGTCCCCGTCTTGTTTCATTTGCTAAAGGCCAAGAAGCCCCAAAGCCCACTGCCTGGCATGAACGTGGAGGAGTTGTTTTCTCATTGATGACTCAAGCTGTTAAGCAGATAGCGCAACCCAAAAGTAGCCCTGGGCGTTCGGGGTACCCGAATTGTTGCCCAAAGCCTTACCGATCGATTGCTATCCGCCTCTCCTGGAGACTCGCCGACAGACACCGCACCCTTTCGTCTTCTGCCGATTCAATTTCTGGCGTCCTGCTCAACCACCGTGACATCGCCTCACGGCGGCCTGGCGTCGTCCATCTGCATCTCCGCGTCCTACTGCTGACAGACCTGCTGTTCAATACTCTCTGCTCCTAGAGCGTTCAAGCCTATAGGTACGCCGGCCGAAATTGCAATTTGCAAATCTCTGTTAGTACAGACGCATGCACAGATCCTCCCAACTACTACTAGCTCATGTTTGATCCTATTTCGTTATTTGTTTTTTTTTCAGTTGGTTAATTTAATCAGATCAGATTTTACAAGCAATTCACAGAAAGAGTATTTTTTTTCTACTAGCAAATGAGGATTGAGGAGTAGAAAAATTGGCTGATTTGAGCAAGATGTCAGGTAAGGAAATATCTGATTTCTATTAATTTAATCATGGCTGCTTGCAGATTAGTTAGTGTTTAATTATGTTGTCTAATTTGAGCTAGTTCTTCCTATCGCCACAACATCAGCAGAAATGTCTTTTTCATTAGTGAAAATTGCGAAGACAGATCTACAAAATCATATTGGGGATGGATTTAAGAATAATTGTGTCATTTGCTTCGTGGAAGCAGAATTTCTTGATGCAATTCCAAATGATGATGTCATGGTTCGCTTTCAAAATATGAATGACTATACCCGTCGAGTGAAATTATAAGAGATAACCACTATTGTAAAAAGTTTTTTTTGTCTTATTATGATATTCCTAATTTTATCCCTCAATATGGCTGCTTGATTTTTGCAATATGTTATCATTATTAATATTTATGTATATGTTATGTAATGAGCATAGTGTTAGATTTCTACAAGTTTGGGTAACATGAGTCTATGCCGACCCCGGCGACAACATTGTTGCCCATATTTTTCTCTCTTTTTTTTTTGTGAAAACCAGTAGTGTCACCTAAACAGATCACGAAGTGCACGGCACACATGGCTCAAGAGTGGTGATGTCCAAAAGCAAATCACAAGGAGCTATCAATGCAAGTCACTTTTGCAAGATGGCAACAACTGCTGCTCTATCACCAGTCACCACCAATCTTCTCCATTAGTTACCACCCACACTTTCACAACAATGCTGTAGCACTACATTACTTCCAGCTCGGGCACTACATTTCTAGCTATCTTGATTCCTTTTTGCTACTTAACCACCATATATACGCCTTCTCAAGCCACCATCCTAACCAACAGTAGGATATATACCTCGATCCCTGCCATGAGCAATAGGGTCCTTACTTTCTATACTCTGGTATTGCGTTGCACCTCTTTGCATATTACAAACGCACACAATAAGAAATTAGCATATAGTGCTTATTAAGAATGGGAGGCACCAGCAAACTTGTGATTGATGGTGCTGGGAATGAGGCAAAGCTCCATGTCGTGGCATGTGTTAGAGAGGCTTGAAGAACAGTAGCTGCGCTCCAGGTAGATGTGTATGCAGAATTGACACCGCCATGCTGGTTCGTAAGAGACTGCCACCTGACCAAGGCGTTGGCAGGTTCTTGTTGGGTGCACCCCATCTTTAAGTGGATTTGGAGATCTTCATGTCAACACAAACATAAAGTTTTCTTCTGGCTTTTGGCTCATGACAGACTCAGTACTTGAACTATCCTCCGAAGAAAAAATATGTTCCTTCAGTTCTACAATTGTGTTTTGTGTAATCTTTCTATCTTTTTCTCGAATACACAGGAGAGCTGTGTATCATTACATTAAGAGAGGAAAAAACGGAACCGTACAAGAAGTGTCCCACCACTCCGGTCCGAGCTGTGGGGGTGCTAAGTTACAACAAGGCCTAGACAATGTTTTCAAGTCGTCCAGTCGAACCTAGTCGCCATGGGACCGACTAGGACGATTAATCACAATTAATCGTGATTAATCGGACGACTTGTACAAGTCGACGGTACCCCTAATCAGTCAGCAGGGACCGATTAGGATGATTAATCATGATTAATCACGATTAATCAGACGACTTGAAAACATTGGGCCTAGATCACTAAAATACAAACACAGGGCAAGACCTAACCCACAACACATGAACTATTGACAACAGCTAGGTTGTCGCCACCTCTTGACCTAAAGCGCCAAGCTTTCATGCCCCTGCGAGACACCAAAGATGGTGCTCATCATCAAAGGAGCGGAGTAAATCATTCATGCTCGGGCTGGCTCCTTCGAATACACAAGCATTCCTGTGTTTCCAGAGAAGCCATGCACCTAGGATGATCAAAGTGTTCTTTGGGTACCCACTTAGCTGCTTTTCTCCACCAGCCTGCGAACTCTTGATCCCTGTTGTCTGGCACGCACCTTTGGAAACCTACTGGTGACTAAATTCTGAACCAGAACTCATGTGCAAAAACACGGGAGGTTAATTGGTGCTAAATAGTTTCTTCTGCTTCATCACACAATGGACAAAGACTCGGATACAGCAAATTTCGTTTGGCCAATCGGTCCGTTATCCAACATATGTTTCGAACAGCCAATCAAAGAAAAACTTTACACTTAGCCGGGGCCCAAGATTTCCAAATGCACCTCCATGGCTCAAAAATCGAGCCATTAAAGAAAGCCCGATACGCTGATCTGGATGAGAAAAATCCAGAGCTCTCAAACCTCCAAATGTGTAAGTCTTCGGTTGTGGTCAGCAAGAAATCTTGTATGATGTCCCACAATTGAAAATACTCAAACAGTCCAATCATCGACAGACCTCCTTCCACATCCCTTGGCCAACATTTGCTCTTGAAAAGCTTCAGCCACCGACTATTTCAAAAATTTCCGAGGCACTGCAGAGAACACATTAGGAGCAATGTCCCTGATGCAGCATCCAAAAAGCCACCTATCTGTCCAGAAAATGGTATTGTTTCCATTGCCCACATGAGAGATCAGGCCAATAGAAAAGAGTGCCACTGCATTAGGATGAACCGGGATGTCAAGTCCCGCCCAGGATTTGTTACTGTCTGTCCTTGTGAACCACAGCCAGCGCATTTGTACTGCCCAGCTCATGTACTCGAGATTATTGTGTAATCTTTCAGTTGAATAAATGGATGAGCACTCTTTCTCTATTGTGAATTTGGAAAAGCCTGCTGGAGCCTCCTTGGGCTGGTAGTTCCCTCCTCTCTGGATCCTTTTCAGATTATGAAACACTTCAAGGCTCATCTGAATGTCCCTTTCTTCATGGAGATCATCATCCCTCTCTGCTGAAGCCTATGGAGTGTAAGAAACAAGTATATTTTCAGGGCAGAAGAACCCTCAAGAGATCAATGCAAGTTCATTTTCAAGAATGTCTTTCGCCTGGTTATCCTGCACGCAAAGAAGTACCTCCCAAATATTGAAACATGGCTAGAGCGCAATTTGTAACTGACCTCATTTTCTTTATTTCTTTCTTTGTTTCTTGAGTGACTCCCTCTATCACTTTTCTGTTCCACATTTTTGTACTTTGTTTTTGCATGTGTCTCAATAAAATTTCAGCAGGGGCTTCGGCCCCTCTTGTTTCCTAAAAGAAATGGACCATAGGGACGGTGCAAAAGGATGGGCTAACCTATCTCTTTCTTGGCAATGGCACACACAAAGCCACAAAGTAAATAATAAAGAATGTAGTGCCGGTTGGTATGTAGACTAAAACGCAAACAATGAATCCGAGTTGCCAACAAACCTATATTTTGCACAGGCATTTCACTACTACAACTGCTTGGAATGACCGTAGCTCGATATTTGCATTTTACTTCGGTTGGCCCTGAATATTATGCGCTATTTCGGTAAACTATATATCTACATGAATTTTACTTTGTGCAAGTAGGGGCAAAAATACATCAGCCTGTGAACAGTTACATGCAGGACCTGTTTACTGCAGTCATGGGTATAATGCCCTGAGGTTTTGTGTCGCATCGAGCAAATAGGGCCCAGTAAAGTACTTGTGTCATCTGACCAGACAAAACCCGACGTTCCATTAGGTGGTAGTACATCAGCAGTCAGGCAACTAAATAAACAAGCACCCATATAACACAAGACTCAAGCCCACATATTAATCTTTTCCACTAGACAAGTTTCACTGAAGAGATTTTGCTTCAAAATAAACAAGCAACGTAACCCTCTGAAAATAAATTGTTCAATCCAAATACAACTTAAGCACCCATATTAATCTTTTTGACTCAACAAATTTCACTGAAGAGATTTTCCCTTGTATTTGTGAAAGTATTCCTGCATGCAACATCGCTTAGTAAGAACACAAAAACCATAAATATCCACTTTAACGATTTCTCGGTGACATTAAAAAATAGTAAATGGGTTGGATAATGTGCACGACCTGTATAAGTTTTTTTATTTTTCCCTTGCAGAGGCTCAAGTACTTTCCAATCCTCTCTTCTGTGCTGGGGATATTTTTTTCCAACCGCAAAATATTGTCAACGGTCTTCTGCACAATGAAATCACTGAACTCTTTTGCTGTGTGGCCTTGGTCCCTTCTTTTCTCAATTTGTTTTGTCACAAACTCTTTTAGTGCAGTTTTAAACATCATTCGCACCATGGTCCGATTATCATCATGAGCTTCTCTGGCCTTCACACCACTATGACTGGGTTGCCCTTTGGTACTATTTGAAGGATCAACCACAGAGTTGGGAGCATGGTCAGTTACTTCAACTATGTGAGACAATATTACAGAGTGGCCATCACTAGGATCAGTTGTTACCCTGAACGTATGAATCGGTACTCCAGATGGAAAAGAGATCATGGGTGGGACAGGTTGGGTTGCTGGATCATGACTAGTAAGCTCAACCGAGTGGGACAAGAGTAAAGGGAGGCCATCACGAGGATCGATTATTATCTTTAATATAGTGACCCGCCGGTTAGGTGAAACTGCTGGTTGGATAATGGATGTTTCTTGCTGCAAAGGTCGGGTATGTAGTGATGCAGCCAGCCTAGGATCCCGACTACGCCGGGTTAATTGCTTTGGTACTGAATAGGCGGTGACAGGAGCCTTGCCATTGTTCGGTTCCAGATCTCTGTAAGCACAAACATTTTAAAACTAATTATGCTATATTACGTTTGGATCACTGGAAAAGCTTTGAAGATCTATTAAACGGATGTCTGACATACAGAAAAATAATATTTAAAATAATAGACTCTCCACGGTACACATAAAAATATAATCAAGGTTGTAATTTATTAGTCGCTTGTATCATAATTCATATATGCCATGAATATAGTAAGCATTAGTGTTGAGCTGTATATGGGTTGTATGTATTGGTTCAGGCCCAAGAGGCCCATATTGATGTATATTTATATGTGTACTTAGAAAACAGAAAGAGCGAGACTTCCAGATATTTCCATACAACATGGTATCGGGTCCTGGGGGATGGCGGAAGCGACCACCTGCTCTACCTCGTGATGGTGGCTGGCGGAGAGGCGTGAAAAAGGCAGAGAAGCAAGCTGCTCAGGTGGAGGAGGAGGCCGCCGCGCGAGCTCAAGCCCGAGAGGAGGCACAGGCGCCTGTTGTCCGAGGGAACGGCGTGTGCGTGAGCAGGCAAGAAGGGCCGTGGCGGAGCTGATTGGAATCGGCGAGAGGAGCTTCCAAATCGAGCGGTGATGCTGCAAGGAGGAAGACATTGGTGAGTATTGGGAGCAACTCCTGCAGTTCCAGGTGGAGTGGGCTGTTGCGCAGTGAAGAAAGAGCTGCCGCAAGTCTGTGATTTTCGAGTGCTCTGCATCAGAAAGAAGGGAAGCTCGAGCTGTGGATTGGAGGGAGATAAAGAGTGGTGGTTCTGGTGGTGGCTTACTTGCTTGAGAGTAGACAAGGAGGCACTGGGGTTGTGTACTGATTGGGAGCAGTAAAGGAGGAGGATTGGAGCAGGGACTGAAGAAAGGCACTGGGAGAGAAATTTGGTGACAGTTTACTGCTTGGCAGCGGCAGGACTGCAATTGAAGGTAATCCTGGGTGGATTTGGTGCTTTCTTCTAATTTGGGGAAAAATAGAGGAGAGCACCGTGAGGGAGAATAAGCTAGAAATTGTTGTCGTATTGTGGATTTGATATTTCTTCCTGGTTTCTTGGAAGAAAGAGAGCAGCTGTGTTGGAGCATATTGTAGTTGTGCTGCAAAATCGAGCTTCTGTAGTAGAGCTGCTGCTAGCTAGTGGAGGTTTGAGTGCTTGAGGAAGAGGAGGTGAAGTGTGGTGATAGCAGCAACTAAGTAATGGCAGAAAGTGGAAGGATTAGGCAGATGTTTGAGAAGTTGGCTGAAATCCTCACTATTAAGGAACTTGTGAAGCTGGCTCAATTATTTTTGGTGAGGACTTCTGAACTAATGTCAGCTACAGAAGAGTCAAATGGGAAGGAGTTAAAGAATGTATATCAGCTTATAACAAGATGGGCATGATTGATATTTATCGCCCATCTTGAGGGGGAGTGTTGAGCTGTATATGGGTTGTATGTATTGGTTCAGGCCCAAAAGGCCCATATTGATGTATATTTATATGTGTACTTAGAAAACAGAAAGAGTGAGACTTCCTGATATTTCCATAACAACAATTAGTCATGCCATGTTTTAGTAAGCTGAATCAAATAAGGCAGCGCACTTCAATACAAGCATGCACAGTCTCAGCTGACGGGCCCCTCCTCTCTGGCTTGGTTCCCCATCGGTATGGTTACCAGGTCACTCAACATAGGGTCTACCCATTTTTTTATGCATGCGAGTATCCTGAATATCCATGCCAATGCAGGTCTAAAAATTTCATCACACTTTTTGACGGTGACAGACGATTTTCTGAACACATTATACTGTTGGTGTGAATGGCAATTAGGAAGGGCAAGGTACCTAGAGTAGGTAGACAGGATGGTGCCGCCAAACACCTAGCCACAATTCTTATAACAGAAAAAAAAAAGTTTTTCTGTACTGACTAGGCACGGCAGCACATGAGCCTTTCATGCATTGTTGATAGCACATGAGCCTTTCAGGTGCTAATAAGATAATAGGTAGTAGAAGTTCGATTTGTCACTGGAAAACGTGAATGCATGGTTGTCTATGAATACGCAAGCAAAAATTTTCACACACTGTAAAAGGTAGTCAGGAAGTAAACTGATTTAGAGTTAACACAAGATCAAAATGCTAATACTTGCATGCTTAAGCAGAACAATTATTTTGTTCAACTATACCTGTGGGACTGGTTCACAGCACTTTCTGAAGATCCTTGGATTGCATCAGCCCTGGCCCACTCCTTGCAAAGTGATGTCTTCATCTGAACTTTTCTTCAGTTAATCTGACAAAGTATACAAGATGTAAACTAGTTTCAGCTACACGGCCCTGCTCATCCAAAATGTTCTTCTGAAGTTTTTAGCCAAATATGAATGTAGTGATCACAGGCTTAATAAAGGATAATGTCACTGGTAAAAGAAACAAATTTTTGGTAATCTCTGTGATGAAACCATGTCTCGTGGCTAAGGTAAATTGTATATGTGCATAAAACAGAGAGCATTTTTATATTAAAGTCCAAAAGATCATCATTAGCACTGACAAGGCCTATGGAGCTCACTACTCTTCTAGGAGTCAATGTGCATGCAGAGTCATGATCCTAGAGGCAAAACTGGGATGACGGCAAAATGAAGCTATACATGAGTTGATTGCAAAGGGGCAAGAAATGTGATGAGCTGACCTCCACCTATCAGTTTTGAGAGCTCACAACCAGCATATTGAGGAGGAATTAATTGCAAATAGGGGTGGAAACAATGTTACAAGCTCAAATGTGTCCCATGGCCCAACTATCTGAACTGGATGTCGTCCTTGCACAACAATCCATACTATTTTAGTCCAATTCCTCTTTAGTTCTACCCAAGTTACTATTAAATACTATGGACACAACACTACCTTTCACACACTCTCTCCCCACTCCCTCCACTTCCCCACACCCTCTAGCTCATCCTAGGGCATCGACCCTAGTTCCATTGACAACTTTTCTCTTTATCTCCAAATCCCTCTCATGGTTATATGACATTGCGTCTAGAAACGAAAAATATAAAAGAAACTTTTACTTGCGAATCTAGAATCCGCACAAGCAGATCCAAACACTTAATTAAACACTCCATGTAAAACTAGGCGAGTATAATAAAAGAGATAATATAGAGAAAAATGATTTACCTTAAAAGTATTGAATTACATAAAAATATTAAAAAAATTCTTTGATTGAAGAAACTAGCGGGCAAAGGAAGGAGGGTGCTAGGAAGGTTGGGAGAAGGGGAGATAATGACTTACCTTAAAACCCTGAGATTTCTTTGTTAGAATCGCGAAGCGCGCGGTGGAGAACGGAGGAAACAGGGAGAAGGGGCCGGGGGAGGGGAGAGAAAGAAAGAGAGCTACTTTCCATCTATCGTCCATATTAGTAACGCCTTTGGACCAACACAGCCAAGCACCAGAGAGGCACGCACGAGGTTCATGCTTGATTATTCCTTTTCCCTTTCTTTTTCTATTAGATAGATTTTAATTTCTTTTTCCTAGTCATTATATTATTAAATGCACTGCATTATTCTAGTTCACAATTTAATATATTTAACATACTTAATTCAACAATTATTCAAATCCATTTAAAAATATTGATATGTCAGCTTCAACATTTTATATAGACACTGTTAAACCAACCGTCTTATTTTGAAATAGTAAATTCAAAATGTTGGAAAGATGCCACAAAAGGTATTGAAATAGTGACTCCAAATGTTTAAAATGCACCCAGTGCAAAATGTTAAAACATAAAATTCAAATTGTTGAAATAGGACACTCAAATTTTTGAAATTGTTGATTCAAATTTCTAACACAGAAGATCAATTATGTTGAATAGTATATTCAAAGTATGGAAACAACAGACATAAATGTTGAAACAATTTCATGTGAGCCTAGGTACAAATGGTGCCACAAGAAGACTGGTGAGATGTAGGCCCCCTTTGGCACGGCTCATCCAAAACGGCTTCACCGGTGAAGCCAAAGCCGGTGAAACCAGAAAAACTGGCTTTTCCCGGCTTCTAGTTCATTTTAACCTCGGCTTACAAAACGGCTTCACGCTACAGTGCCTCGATTTACGCAAAATAGATGAAGCCGAAGCCGGCATAAGCCGTGCCAAAGAGTCCTGTAGTTTGACGATAGGCATCGACACTTTTCATCTGCTCTATGATTAAGTTAGCTTGCTTTGCTCATTAGACACTAGACATGGCTCACTATGGTTTTGTTGGGTATGGTAACTAGGTGAGTACCCCACGCATTGTTGCGGGTATTGAGAGATAATTTCAAGTAAACATAGGGTGAATGGGGAAAATTTTACATGTAGATTCTATAACGGGGCATATAGTACTCTATAAACAATTATAAGCAAGATTTGAAATAGTAACAATAATATTTGTAAGAAAAATGGACCATATGGGTAGTTTCTTTGGGGACCCTATTTATACCCCCATGGCTGCCCCCTTGGAGGTTATTGGAGTATGATGAAGATATACGAGTGTTGAGACACTTCTCCGAGTGCTCTAGCCACCACAAGTGCATAAAAAAAGATTAGGTTATTTTCAAAATGCTTAGGCTAGTTAGACCCACTTAATTTTGCTTGCCCTAGGTTTAGGTCTTGTGTTTAGTGAGGTTTGCATACCTATTTCCACTTGGTGCTTGCGTGCACCATTGTTGTACATCGGTGGGGCTTGTAGTCTTGTGAGACCACACCAACCGAGTTTGTGGTATAGCCACCATCTTGTAATAGAGGG